GAAAAGCATCGGGAGGGGTTGTTGTGATCTGACGCTGGGATCATACAATGCGGCTGCGCGCGCGCAAGATCAGCAGGCTCGACGTGCGCTGGCGCACGTGGATACATCCTGATCGCCGTCCCACCCTGAACGTACACACACACAGACACACACACGCCTACGCTTTTCAACCACACTTCAATACAGCGTACGAACACAAGTACCATGGCAGCCTACGACTTTCGCATTGTGCTCGGTATCCTCGGCGATGCTGACTCCGGCAAGACCAAGGTACTGCAGCATGACGCGTCTCCGCCCAAGCATCAGCACAGAATCTGTGCACGCTGCTTTCAGAAAATAAAACTTTGCTTGGTCCTACCGCCTCATGTGTGAACCATGCTTGCGCGTCCCGCGCTTCATCCATGCCATTGCAGCTGTTTGACAATCTACAGGCCAACCTTGTTCCTGAAGCCCCCACCAGTCGTGGAGCACTCGGTTGCACAGCATATCTGTGTTGCAATGACAAGGGCCGCACTGTCATGCTGACACTGCGCGACTACTCGGAACAGGCCTTTCGTGAGATTCGCCGCGGCAACCAAGAAACAATTGCCTCTGTTTTTGAGTGCGATGGCTTCCTCGTGCTCTGCAATCCCAAACAACAACGCTGCCTTGAGAATCTAAACACCTGGTTTGATCTGATCAAGGCCCATGCGCACCCTTCAGCGGCCGTCTGGTCCATGATTGTGGCCTCGCACGCCGAAGAAAAGAACCTGGCCACGCCCTTGGAGAAAGTACAGGCCTGGGCATCAGAGCGGGGCTGTGTCTTTGGTCGCCACGAGCGCCGCATGCCCCCGGCCTTCCAAGGTAGCCTCCTTCAACTTTTTAGCAAAATTGTGAGCCTAGATAATTTTCCCATCCTTCGGCGTGGCTATTGTGCAAAGCAAGGCTCCTTCTTCAAAACGTGGCGTCGCCGATTCTTCGTTCTCGAAGACACTGGCAAACTTCGGTCCGTCAACCTCCTCCGGCTTGCCACCTGACACGTCGCCCAGCTTTTTGTGGGCCCATCCTTGGCTCATATGCCCCCTCCCCCCTTTGCCTCTGTCCCCCTTGTCCCTGTCCCCCTTGCTGCTCCCGTAGTTATTATGACAAGACTGTCTCTGCCCGCAGCCTCAAGGGTGAAATCGATCTGAAGACGGCCACGGCCGTTCTAGATGGTGATGCCTGCAATGTCATTTGGCCTGCTGGTGCAGACATGACCACAGTCTTTGGCATTGTGACCCCAAAGCGAACCTATTTCCTCATTACTGAAGACACCGTGGCATGCACGGGCTGGAAACGTGATATTCTCAAGATCATACAGGGCAACTGAAGGAGCGTCCCCAACCCTCTTTCTTGCCCTTATCTACCCAGCCGTGCACCCGCTATCCCCCATGCAGACTGTTGTGCCTGCTTTTTCCGTGTTGCCTCCCTTCTGCTCGGTCCCAAGCAATCGTATCAAAACGCCATCAGACCTACCGCATGAATCGTGTGACCCGCGAGCCTTCCTTTCCGAGTTGGCATGCAAATTGACCTTCTAGTACTTGAACGCTCATGTCACCAATGTTGAATGTAACAAGTACCACAACTTGCTCACCGTGAAACCCACCAGGAAAAACCGAGACTCAGTCTCACCACAGCACCTCCCCCCCCTTGGCATGCCGATCGATCGAAAATACACCAAAATTTATTTTTCAAATGAAATTTCACAAAATAAAATTCGACCGTTTCATTTCTCTCTATCTCTCCTCTCTCTCTCCTCTCTCTCTCTCCTCTCCGCTCGCTCGCGCGCGCGCTTCAAGTTGTTGACGCGCGTGTCCAGCCAGAGATTGAGTTGCGGGCTGTACGAGAAGCAAGGGGGGACGGAAGGGGCAGATAGGAGAAGCAAGGTCGTGGGTTTTGTCTATTCGCGGTGCAGCAGCAATGGCATGGTGATTTGCTCCTTGATCCTGAATACGGCTCGAAGGCAAGCATGGTGGAGCTCGAACAGCTGACCCGGCTGGCCGCCGAGAAGGAGCGTGAGTGGAGACTGTTAGAGCGCGAGCGCGGCTCTCACCTTGAGCAGCAGCTCCAACAAAAGAACCGGCAGCTCGCCGATCTGCAGGTGCGAGTGCTGGACAAAATGAATCGTGTTGATCTTGAACTCCAACACTCAACCATCGTGCACACACCCGCGTCCTGCATCAACCCCACAGCTCTCAGACTATGCCTCGTCCGCCTGATCTGTTCCTCTCGCTCTTACCCTTTCTCATTCTTAGCACCAGCTTCATGAACTGCAACAAGATTTTCGCTTCAACCTTGAACTTATTGCCCAACGCGATCAAGAGCTACTCCGACACGAGCGAGGTCTAGAAGAAGTTCAGGACGCCCTCCGCCTCGTGCAACAAGAGTACGGACAGCTACGATCCGAGGCCGCTGCCACACAGCAACACCTTGTGGAGGAGCGAGCAGCCCGCGACCGACAAGCCGAGCAACACCGTGCTGCTCTCGAAGAGCTCAAGGTACGCCCCTCTCCTCAACCGATGCCAGTATGATCAGAGCTCATGGGAGCCGCACGCGTCGTAGTCGGGCTTCGCCGATGAGCGCCGCGCTTGGCAACAAGAGCGAGTCGAGCTTCAATGTGAGCGCAGTGATTTGCAGACACAGATGCAACGCCTTCATGGCGAGTTTGAATTTCAGCGGCAGTGTGAGCTCCGTGACCTGCGGCAAGAATTTGAGCAAGCAAGTTCCTCCCTTGCCAATGCACGCGCGCACCATCATGTCATGGTCGCCCATATCTAACCCTTCTGTCGAGCGCTGCCGGGCATCTTGCCCCACTCTTCAGGTGCTTCGTGAGTCCTATGTTGAGTTGCGTGCCCAAAACGCCGCACTCACGCAAGATAAGGTATTGACTGAGCGACGCCTCGAAGAGGCACAGGAACGAGTCAAGCATTTAGACAAGACACGGCAAGATGAGGCCGCAGCCCTATCGGCTCGCCAAGAAGACTTGGAAAGCCTCGAGCAGCAACTCTTTCAGGCTCGCCTTCAAGCGCGGGACGCCGAGGCCCGCTGCGAACAAGCGTATGTAGATCGTCACGGCCACACTCGCAGGCAATCGTTTGCCTTCTCCTCCTTTGCATATCATTGCGCATCCAAAAAACCACAAGGCCCCACTCTCTCACTCTTCATGTCACTCTCTCGCTTTTCTCTCTTTTCTCCACCTTGCGTAGCCAACAGCAAGCAGAATGGCAAAGGCAGCAGCTGGAGGCTCGACATGATGTGGAAGTGACGAGCCTTACACGCCGCCTGACCAGCAACCAACAGGCATTGCGCGAGCACGAAGCTCAAATGCAAGCGACGGCACGCCAACATCAGCAACAAACGGCAGATTTGGCTCAACAACTACAAAAGGCGCGTCATGACGCTGCCACGGCTCAGGCTGCCCTTTTGGAGACTAAGCTCGCGCTGGAAGATGCACGCACGACCAGCCAACAAGTCTGGATTCACGCCCATGACGGCCACAAGGCCGAGCAGGCAGAACTCAAGGCCGAGAACGATCGCCTCCAAGAGGCCCACCAAGCCGTTGAGCGAGTGGTGAAGCAACAGCGTGATACCATCGGGCGGCTTGAAACCGATAATTGCGAGCTTGTGGCAGAGGTTCAACGCCTGTGTCGCGATATCGAGCATCTACAGCAGGCCAATGGAGGCTTGCAAACCGCACTTGCAGCCCTCAACACGACCTGGGAAATGCGCATGAATCACGTCTCGAGCAGCGAAGCCTCGGCTTCGGAACTCACCCGCCAGCTTGTCCAAGCTCAGCTCGCGGAAAAGCAGGCTCAAGAGGACGCAGCCCGCTTACGCCAGGATCTACAGCGTCACCGTGATCTCTTGACTCAACTACAGACGGAGCGTGAGCAGCTCAGCACTGAGCTCAAAATTTATCGTGACAACTTACAAAACAGTACCACGGACCCCAACGTGACACCCGCGGCGACGGATAAGGGTCCTGGTCATGCTCCAACCCAGTTGGTGCAAGCTCTGCAACGCGAGTTGAATCAGCGCATCGCCACGCAGGTGCAGCTTGCCGAACGCCTGCGCCTTCTTGAATCGCCAGTCTCTCCGTCAGCCACCAAGCGCCCAACAAGTGTCAGGCATGGTGCAGACGTTGCGGCTGCTTCTGGCCCGGGCAACGTTGATGAGTCGGGTGCGCGTTTGGAAGCGAGCCGAGAACAGAGCCCCCTCGCACAGCGCGTGGCAACGTTACAAGCAGCGCTGGATGAATCTCACCGTCAACTGCAAAATTATGACAGCACTCAGCAGTCTCTCAGGGCACAGCTGCAGCAGCGAGACGAGAGCCTGCAACGACTCGAAACTGAGCTCGCGGTGTTACAGGACAAACTCCGAGCTACCCAGCATCAGGTTGATGAGGCCCTGCATGACGCTCAAAAGGAACAAGTGGCGGCCGCTGATTTGGCACAAACTCTCCGAGCTAAGGAGGAGCAGAATGATGACTTATTGCAGATATTTATTCGTCAGGCAGGCAATTGCAAGTATCTCGAGTCGACCTTGCACACGCTCGAGGAAGCAGCCATGGCACAACTGACACCGGTACGTTGCCCCTTTCTTTCCGTTCATGCTTGTTCTTCCTGGCCTCTTGCTTGTTCTTCCTGGCCTCTTGCTTGTTCTTCCTGGCCTCCTCTTGTTCTTTTTCCTGCTCGCCTGCTCCTGCGCTACGGCTTTCGTGATGCATCTCCTCCCTTTGCATGTCAGCCCGCTGTACTCATCAATATTTGCGCCCTTGCACTGCATTTAACTACCAGCCCACGATGCTTGCGTTCTCTGAACAAGTGCGTCGTGGCATCGTGGAGTTGATGCAGCAGCTCAAGTCGGACATTGCCCAACACAAAACCCGTTTCCAGCACATCAAGTTTGTTCGCGCTCACCTACTTTCGAGCATCAGCTTGGGGGCACACACCACGCGACACATCCCTCACGCAGTGATACGGGTAATGGAACTTGTCTTCAATTCTTATAGACCGCTTGAGGAAGCTGAACGCCAACGAGTGGTAGCCCTGCGGAAGGAGCGGTCTGCGACGCTTGAACGCATTGCTGAGGTAAGTCCGCTAGACTGAAAATGGCGTTGTCAAACCAGGACAGGACTGGCTTTGGTGGCTGCAGGTTTGCTTCTCCGCGCTTTTGTGCATGACAGAGATGGAGAGACTGACTCAGGAAACATTTGTCTGCTGATGCCCCTTTCTCGCTGACGCACAGCTGGAGGCTGCGCTCGCAACCTCGCGGAGGGAGTTGCATGAAGCACGACTCGAGGCTGCCTCACGAGTTTCGGCACCAGTAGCTTCCTATTCTGCAGTGGGGCAGACTCATACGCAGGCTGTGGCCTCTACACACGTGACACCGCAAGCACGTGGCAACCAGGTACATCAAACACCGAGCACCCTCGCCCTGGTTTTTTTTTTTTTTTTTTTCTTTCTTTCTTTCTTTCTTTCAAGACGCGCCTCTCGCCCCATGTCTCATGTTCTCCTCGCTCCAGGCGTCTGTTACTCACATAGGCTCGACGCAACCTGCAAATTCAAACACAACCACGCCGTTGCGCCGATCCCATGACATGAATCGGACCGCGACACCCGGGCGGCTAATGACGACAACGCCCAATCTACGATCAAACAAGCCTGCTGTTCAATTTAGCGTGAGGGCACAATCACCCCGCCTCTCAGCACTGACCACACCGACTACCCGGCCATTGGGGTCGATGGGCCCAGCCCCCAGCCTCGGGGCTCCATTGGGGGCCACACCAGCCACGGCAGCACAGGTTGAAGAAGACGATAACAAATCGGCCTCTACGCCCTCGGATACAAGCGTGCAAGACCTGATGGCCCTCAGTTTCTCACGACCTCCAACGCGATCCCTCGCGGCGGGTCTCGCAACTGGGCTAACCAGATCGTTTGATGAAGATCTGGCCAATGCCCCAACCCCCATGCCAGCCAGCTACGATGGACCCAGTCCATCTGTCAGCCGAGCACAGGCAAGCCACGAAAACCGCTTACGCCGTGTGCATTCCAGTGGCACCGGTGGCGCCGAAGAACCAGAGCTGGCACCCCTGCCCGAGTCAAGGGCCGCGGCGCCAGAGATGACCTTTGATGCTCCACCCCCACGCGCCCGGACCCGCAACTCTGTGAGCATGCCACGAAACTACAATATCCGGGATGATGAGGCCTATCAAGCTCTAACTAGCAGTCGCCCTGGGCAACCTTGAGCATTTCTGCAATGCTCTCAATCTTATTTTGAGCTTTCCCAAGAGTTTCACCCTAATTGATATCCAAACGAAAAATAGGGCGTGAGCTACAGCACATGGCTCGCACAATTGAGCGTGACAGTCGGGAAGAAACAACTTGGCCTAAACCGAAAGGCCAACAGTCACATGGGCAAAGTGCTCAGACGCGTCGCGAGTGAGCAGGCATGGACCGTACAGTGCTCAGCTCGGTGTCCCTGATGCGTTGCCAGCCCGCGTAATCCACAACAGTTTTCTTGCGACGTCGCAGAAGCTCAGCAACATCGGCACAGTCATCACTGGGGTCGAGGTTGGTAAGTTGAAGCTCAAGGTCTTGTGCAATACTTTGTGCCGTGTCTTGTGCATCGGCCATTGTGATGGCAATGGTGCCAATGGGACCGTTCTTGATCCAGCCGCTGCAATACAAGTGTGGCTGGTCCTTGATGCGACCTGACAGCCCGGAGCCAATAGAATGATGAAAAGGCAGAGATGTGTGCCGGTCATCGGCAAGTTTCACATGTGCTCGTACCATTTTCGTGAAGATAATGGCCTCGCTGCTCATCGAAGGCAGCGGCAAGCTCTGGCGTCAGGTTTGATCCGAGAAAGCCAATGCTTCGCACCGCCAATTGGCACGGCATCAAACTGCAACCATGGACCGCCCATCCACCGGGTGAGGCTTGCTCAGGTGTGGAGGTGGCGCCATGAAGAAGCTAGACATTGTGATTTAACGCGCAAAAGTCGCCTATCTCATGCACATACATGCGCTCGTCTGTCAAGATGGCCTTGCGCGCACCAGGTGGGCCCTCTAGGCGTGTGCGCCGCAGGACAACTTGCCCCACACGAGTCTACGGATCGCGATTCACGCGCCGTCCAAACGTATGAGTAACAAGCTGAGTGGTATGACTTGTTGTGGTGGTTGGCCCGATTAAACCAGGATGGAGGAGGTTGCCCTCCACCCCGAAAAGGCCGGGGTTTTTTTTTAAAAAACTGAGTTATTCGCATTCAAAATACGTACTGGGTCATCGGGGTCGGGTAGGAATTCCTCTGGTGCGAGATTAAAATCAAACCCCCAGGCTCGTGGTGTAGCAGCCGCGGCTGCGTCCGTGTGCTCGGCTAGCCGACCTGCGGTGTGAAGCATCACACAGCCAAACGTTAAACCGACGGGTGAGTGAACAAGGTTATCCCGACACATGAAACCCTGGTCTGCGCGTCCAGGCAAGAGACCTACCCTTGCCGGCAAGTTCCTGTAGCAACATGAGTGTTCGGCGGCGCGGCCGATTGGCGTCGATCCAAGCCTTTTCCTCCTAACAAAGGCCACGCGACCCGACTGAGTGAATTGTTCCAAACGGCGAGGAGCGGCGCACCCAGCCTTAAAATTTAAAGTGGCTGATAAGATGGTGAACAATCGCGGTAATCATACCGTTGTGTAATCAAAAAAGTCCATGTCGGTGGGCACCAGCTTCTTCAGCTCGCGCAATTCCTTGACCGTGCAGGTCACCTGAAAGAACGCGGAAGGACAAGGTGCAATTTGTCGCTTGAGCAGAAGTGGCCTCACTCGTGTCGAACATGTCGCAAAAGCGGTCAGGGCGTGACACGTCTGCGGCATTGTCCAAACGATCAACAACCTCGAGAGGCCCACGACGGCCCACAATGCGCACGGCTTGGATGCCGTTTTGATCAGCCAGCTTGGACAGGGCTCGCGTGCTGATGTCAGTTGAAGCCAACTCGGCAGGATTGTAGAGCAAGATGCGAGCCACATCCAAAGCGACGTTTCCCTGCGCAGCACACAATCGAAGAGAATGAGTTGTGTGGTCCTGTTTTCTGACACTAGAGCAATTTGCCACACCATGCCAAAAACAACGGCTTGCGGGCCTCGCAGATCAATGTCGGTGGCAGCTGCGGCCGGGTCCCCGTTGTACCAAGCGACAAATTCACGAGCAGACATAACGCCTAAAAGCAGCGGTGTCGGCCACGCAACAAGGACTGTGTGAGTGTCTGTCAAGTTCAGCAAGGCAAAAGAGGGTCGGCACACAAGATGACTGGGGATATATTGAGATCCGAGCAACCGGCACACGGTTCAACCCCAACATACCCTGAAGGTCTTCGCCTGGGATGTTGAGGGGACGATCGCCAGCTGCGCCATAACTTAAGACGACGGCGTCGTAGCGCGCACGCACATCGGCAAGCTGTGCGAATGTGCATTGAGGGGCGGGGCGGTGTCGATGAGTGGTACGCACGAGAGAAGGAAAGCGATGGGCACCGCGGTGACGAGCGAGAATGTTGAGGGTAAGTTTGAACGAACTGAAAGGTCGTTTCCGACATGCACATTGCCAAAGAGCCGGACATTGGGGAGGGCAGCTGTCGCTTCAAATTGATTGATGCAGTTTTTGACCTGCAGCTCGTTTCACAAGGCAGACAGCAGTCAAGGCGTAGTGGAGAGGTAGCACGCCAATCTGCGCGATATCAACCTGGCCTGCTGGCGCACCTCAGGATGGTCGGGGGCGACGCCATAGCGAACAAGGCCATACGGAACGGGATATTTTTCAAATATGTCAACCCTCGCTTCGGGGTGTGCCTATTCAGAGCAGGCAAAACCCAAGCACCCGGGTTGAAAGACACTACAATGTAATCACAGCCATGGTCTTTGGTACCACCCACACCATGATATGTGTGCCGGCACACAGGAGGATGCAGGCCGAGGATGACAAGGATGGGCGGGGCACACGAAACTATGCAGACCTTGAGGAGAAAATGCGCTACATAAAAGCCTGATGGACCACCGCCGACGATGGCTACTCGAGGGGGCCGGCTAGGACTTGCTGTGGTCAGCGCACGGGCGACCTGGAGCCGACATGACCGCAGCAGCGGTGACACAGGACCCGTGATCGAGGGGAGCTGGCCCGCACGAGGGCGCAGCGCCAGCGCGGCCACGCGTCGCAGCATCACGCATTCAAGCGCCAGGCATACGCTCAAGACAGCCGGAAAGGCACGTGGGCAATCGGTTTGCAACCTGCCCAAAGTCCTGCATCGAGGGAGAGAGAGTAGCAATGAGCACCGAGCGGGCTGCACAAAAAGTACCAGGGCCCAAGGACTCCTCGACACCCAAGAGAACAAGCAAAGCCCATAGCCACACTCCACTGCAACCTGCTGCAAGCGCGACAAGGAGGGCTTACCGACCACGGTGTGCTCAGCTCAGAACCAGGGTCCCAATGTCTGCGAGAGAGCTTGTGAGCCGACGCTGACGACGATCAGCGTCACGATGAGAATGCAGAGAGAGAGAGAGCATCTCCTGTGCTGACAATCTATGCTGACAATCGGAAGGGTGGTTATTGTCAGATTGTCATCTATTTTTCATGCAGGACGCTTGTCGTTGTTTCGTTGCATGCGTGCAAGCACGTTGGGCTGCTACAGTTCGTTCTGTTTGTTTTGCATCTGTCATATGCGGCAGTTTGGATCCTGGCTGAAAACGGACAAGTTCCCGCGGACACGTACAGAGTCCAGCGAAAGTGCCCATCTGACTGTCCCAACCCCAACCAGGCTGACCAGACTCTGTCGTCCTTCCAAGAATTTGTGGCGGTTCATTGTTGGAGATGGTGTCAACATTCCAGACTTTGGCTTCTCCCGCGCGCAAACTGTCTCGAGCGAATTTCCCCATGAACCCCAAATTTCAATGAGCTCTAGACCTCATTGGTCATTTTTCGCTGCGCCGCTTCCAGCGCCACCCTCAGTGCGACAGCGTTGGCCGTGCCTATCAGCCCTCCTTCACCATGATGCAGCACGGGGTGCCGCTGGCACTCTTCGTTGCCCTGGCCTTTGCCGTCCTGCCTACAGCGAGTACGATGCTGACCATATGACCTCTTTTCTCTTGCTTACGTACTGCACGCACCTCACGCCGCCCTTGGCTCACTTGCGAATCACAGCGGCCAATTGCGCCTCCCATGACGATTGTGCCGCCGACGAGTATTGGTACGGCTGTTCTGAACTTGTATACCCCCCCTCCCAAGCGCGGCCCGAGACATGACTCGCTCACTTGCATTCTTGATCCGGGGCTGGGCACTGCACAACCATGCATGTGCTGTTGGTAGCGATGAGTCCTCAGCCTGTTATCAATGGTATGTCCCCAATGCTTCAGTGCCATCGATGAACTGTTGTTGGTTTGGCTCATTTCATCTTGCCCACCCCGAACCCGGTCATGCATCATTGTAGCGAGCCTCAAGGCTGCTATTTTTGGCAAGATTCCTTTGACGGAGGTGTGTCTTGGTCACCCCAAGGCCGTGTTCTTCGTCTCAGCCCCCCGGCTCTCCACGCGCACCTCACCCTGTGTCCTCTTCCAACTCAGGCGCTTGTCCAGACAAGTGCCGCAACCCCGAATTGGAATGCCAGCACCATTCACATTGTGAGGGTAGCTTTTTTTGCGGTGAAGGCTACGAGTGCATTTCGGTATGGCCGAAACGTCCTCTTTGAAACACAAAATCAACGTTCTTACTCATGTGCTCTATGATACCACCATAGTGCTTGGCCTGCGGTGGCCTTGCTGCACTGGATAACGTAGACTGCAGTGAGCATTGTGCTGCTAGAGCTGAATGTACGCCCTCATTTGCATGGCATCATGCTGCTGCTTATTGACCGTTTAACCCGACTCACGCGCGAGATTGCCCCTGCTATGTCGCATTCTACCCATTCTTTCAGCAAACGAATGCCAGGCGCACGACGACTGCGATGACAGCTCTTGTATGCACCACTTGATTCCTGTATCTTGTTCCGACCCACTGACTTGTTTTGGCTTCAGCTCACCTCAGTTCATCTGCCATCCCCTCCTCGCTCAGATTGCGACCGGCATGGGGATTGCTATGCATGCGAAGCCTGCTGGTTCTACGATGACGCGGTTGATCACGGTGCGTCGGATTGCGAGTGCTCGGGCGTTTTTGCATCACGCATGGTTGACTGCTGTTCTTGAGTTAAAAGAAACGTGCCATGGGCTGCGCAAAGACTAACGTTGGCTCAACCTTCAAATGATGCTGTTAACCTTAGCTTGCCCCAGCCATTGCCGCAACGAAACCTTGGAGTGCCAGACCGACGCTCATTGCGGCGAAGAAGAATATTGTCATCAAGACGGCTCGTGTGCTCACTGTTCACGCTGCCTGCAAGGCGAAATTGGTAAGCTTGTAGCGCCTGAATCCAGCCTTTCATGATGGAATAGGTTGCTCGCTTATAAACAAGTTACTCTGTAGGTTATGCCTCCTATTGCGAGGTTCACTGCGGATACTTTGTCGTTCCCTCCACAACAAACCGTGATGAGACCACGCCAATGCCTAGCACGGGCTCCGGTGATGACGAGCTGAGTGGTGAGCAACCCACCACTCGTGCACCCGAAGATATGACAACTGCAAAGGTCACAAAAACTGTCTCTGCTGAACCCACAACTGGTGCTGATGCTGAACCCACAACTGGTGCTGCTGCCGAGCCTACGACCGAGGCTGCTGCTGAACCCACCACCGCGGCTGCTGCTGAACCCACAACTGGTGCTGCTGCCGAGCCTACGACCGAGGCTGCTGCCGAGCCTACGACCGAGGCTGCTGCCGAGCCTACGACCGAGGCTGCTGCCGAGCCTACGACCGAGGCTGCTGCTGAACCCACCACCGAGGCTGCTGCTGAACACACCACCGAGGCTGCTGCTGAACCCACCACCGAGGCTGCTGCTGAACACACCACCGAGGCTGCTGCTGAACCCACCACCAAGGCCGCTGCTGAACACACCACCGAGGCTGCTGCTGAACCCACCACCAAGGCCGCTGCTGAGCCTACCACCGAGGAGGAGGTGGTGGAACCCACTACTGAGCAGGACGCCGAGCCCAGCACTGTTGCAACACTGCCAACGCAGGGAGCTTCCAGCTCGACCTCCGCGCCTGCTTCTACCGATACTGTGCCAGATCAAGATGGTTCAGGCGATGACTCGGGTGATTGGGGCATGGAGCCCTCTACAACACCGGCCATTTGTCAGCTGGACCAGTGCTATGCGTGTGTCGCGGATGACTTTGCGCAGTGCGCAGTGTGTAAAAACAAGTTCCTCCTTCACAATGGCGCATGCCGTGAGACCTGCCCCGCCGGCTTTGAAGCCGTCGGAAAGGGCCAGTTCAACCGCTTCTGCCGTGAGATTCAAGTCGAGGAACCCACCTGCGCCGACGAGTTTTGCCATGACTGTGCTGGTAACCGTTCGGTGTGCACCGTGTGCTCCAGTGGTCGGTACCTCCATGCGGGTGCCTGCCTTGAGCATTGTCCCGCCGGCTACGAAGAGGTGGGCCGTGGCAACTTCAACAACGAATGCCGCTTGGAAGCGCTCGCTGGCTGTGCCGATAACGAGTGCTACTCGTGTGAGGAGGACCGTGATCTGTGCACCATGTGCAAAAATGGCTACTTTCTTCATGAGGATGGCTGCGTGGCTTCATGTCCCTCGGGTTACGAGCCAGTCGGTCGTGGCAACTTTGGCAAGTACTGTCAGTTGGCTGCTTTCGCGTGTGCTGATGAGTTTTGCCACGACTGCAGTGCCGACCGCAATGTGTGCTCGGTCTGTGGATCGGGCCGCTTCCTTTTTGACGGGGCCTGCCTTGCATCCTGCCCTGCCGGATATGTCAACGTGGGGTCGGGCAACTACCGCAACACTTGTCGCCGGGCGCGCGTATGTGCAGACCATTGCCACAGCTGCGATGAGGATATGCCTGAGACCTGCTTGGTCTGTCGCCATGGCACATATCTTCTAAACGGCACCTGCCATACGACTTGCCCGGCTGGTTATACAGGCAAGGGCCGGGGCAACTTTCACAACTTTTGCGAAAAGGATCGTGCTTGCCAGCGCGGTCAAGACAGCTGTGACCTGTGCGACGAGGAAGCTGATCAGTGTGTGCGCTGTCGGGACGCGCGGTACCTGCATGAGGGCTCCTGCATCGACGCATGCCCCCACACGCACATGCCGGTTGGTCGCGGCAACTTCAACCTTGAGTGCCATGAGCGTGGAGTGGGTTGCACTGCCCTTGTCGATGAGTGCTACCGTTGCAACCTCGGTGGTACCGCGTGTGAGGTGTGCAAAAACGGCTTTGCCCTTTACAACGGTTATTGCGCCCAGACATGCCCCGATGGTTACCGCATGCGTGGCTCGGGCAACTTCAACCGTGCATGCGTCACCGCCTAAGCTTCCCTGCTGTTATGCATAAATATTGACGAGTTTCCTTCGCAGAAGGGGGGGGGGGGTCTCGCTCAGACATGATGGGCTGGTGTGCTCGGTGGCAGCGCGACGCACGCCGCACGTCAACCATCGCGTGCTGTCTTTTTCACAGTCAGCAGTTGAGCAGCGCATGTATGTACAGAAAACCAGAGACCCCATAGTTGGAGCTGCACACACAGCAGTGTATTTTTTTGACGATTAAATAAAATTGATGTCCTATACCTATCTGTCCAGATGTTGTTGTTTGAACAGATATGATCATCTGTATCCTGTACACCCACACCCGGCGCGCACCGAAAGGATGTCGCACAGCTTCAACGGAATACCCCCCTCCTCGGCAACGCAGTACCAGGTCGTCGAACTGTTCGTTATGTCAAGACGAAAAATACAACGAAAAAGGCACGAAAATATGCAAAAAATAGCCGTAATTCACCAAAATCACCCATAACTCTCCTTGAAGGTGGGCAGTCAACAAACACAAAAGACGGACTCTAGAAGTGACGGTAAAATGCATTGTCCCGTCGCTAACCCTGCACCAAGAGCATGGATTCGAGTTGACCACGCTACACAAAAACGAATCGTGCGTCACTTGGAGAAGAAGAACAACAAGCAGTTCAAAACTAGCATTTTGATCACGAAACGAAAGTCAAAAAGGGTAATAAATTTCAAAGCTTCTTCAAAGGCGTGCTCGAGCAGCCAAATCCAGCCCACTGCCATCAAGACGTCAACCACGAGTCGGTAAAACCAGGCAAGCTGGGGAGGGCGAGCCGGCAGAAATCATTGTGCACATGTGACCGTTGAAACGCAGCAATGCCCTCAGGGCCGTTGTTATGGGGTGAGAAGTATGGATCGTGGACGGCCGAGGCAAAGTGAAAGTCAGGGTTGGTGTACCGGTGGCGCACGCCCTGGATGTTAATCATAAGCTCCTGGCGCTGGGAGGCATGGTAACTGTAGCAACTGAGGGCTTGGGCCAAGTCATTACACTCGCGGAATTCCTCGCGCCAGTCCTCACCGTGGTCGCCCACCTCGTCCTGCATGTCCTCTTCGCTCACCACCCCACCAGCCGAGTCATTGAAGATACAAAAGTAGTCCATGACACCGGTGGCCTCGAGGTCTTCCAGCTCCGGCTCAAGCAACGCCCATGGCACACGCCCGTTGGCAGCGGGCCGCGCCGTCAACTGCACCGCGCGTGGTTGCGCGAAACTCACTGCATTTTCACTGGAGCGACCAAGCGCAGCATTGAACGCCTGAGCAATGCGCGATGCATGGGCAACCTTGGACAGCCCAATCTCACTGGCCTCTTGCGTCTGCATGGTTGCATAGCAGGGCCACTTGAGCACAAAGCTATCTTCAGTACCCGACAAATACGCTGGGTATGCAGAATGGTATGCGCCCTGCCGCAAGTCCTCGCCCGTGCTCTCGCTCACAAACAGAAAAACGCCACCTATCAGGGTCAAGAATCCAACGCGTGAGTACGCTGCGACCACGGTCACGGACGCAAACATAGACACACAAGCGGGAGAAACAACAATGCTTCGACGGCATGTATGGGCACGGGACGAGCCAGCGTAGACACGAGCGGCTGCGGGCACGAAAGGAGAACACGTACGGTCTTGAAGCTGCAGGTGTGAGCTAGCATCCAGGTCATACACATCGCAATGCTCCCACTCGGACTTGTCCGGATCATCGCTGCGCTCGGGCAGCGGCACAATCTCATACTCAGTATCATCACCGGTCTGCGCGTGTACGGGCTCCCTCTCAGCGGATGGCAGTAGAGCGGGCAAGGTGCTTGCGTCTGGTGTGAGACGCTCGGCATCTGAACCATTGAATGAGGTTCCGGGGGAAGGGGGCGGCTGGGTGTCGGTAAGCACGGTCGCCACCTCGGTGCGACCCGAGGCTCCGAGCGGGGTGGCAAGATCATAGGTGCGAACTTCGACGGTGGAATTCAGGGGACTGCCAGCCATGGCCGCTGGTTCTTCAAAAGCATCGGGGTCGAAATCCTTCGGTACCTTGGAGATGGAGCCCCAGTTGGTAGCATGATACGAGCCAGGCACGCGGTGCCCCAGCAGCCCGCCCTGGGAACTTGCAGCAGATACCACGGAGGGTCGGTATGCAGATGCATTCGAGGGTGCCGGCGCTGGTGCACTGTCGGCCGGTGCCGGTAGGCCGTCGGCATCAACGTGGGTCGGATCAACGCTGTCACGACGCGCATTGGCCATTGTACCACGCCGCGATTCAAGGTCCTGTGCAGAGAACTGGGCGTGGGCAGGGCCACGCATTAATCCAGCATCACTACGCGACACGGCTGTGCCTGCACGAGAGCGCGCGATGGTGGGGGCGAGCGAAATGGCGTCTGGCATGTCATTCTGACGCAAGGCATAAGAGGCCAAGAAGGCCACTGCCAGCAAGATCTCGATAACGACAAGAAAGCCCACGAGAACGTAATCGGTGGTAGGATCAAGGTCAGCCCGAAAATACACGGGCACAGCCACAAGCATGGGCGCAGAAAAAATCAACGTGGCTAGAACCTGCTCGACCCACCACTCGGGCTCAAGATACTTGGTCAAGAGATGAAAGGGTAGGTTTTGATAGGACGTAAACGTCAAATAGACGACCAAGGCCAAGGCGGCAACAAGCGGCACGAGCATAAAGACCAAGAAGGTCACCTCACCCGCCATGGACACTGGATGGGCAGCAATCCAGGCAGGGAGTAGGATGAAGCAGGGGAGGTCCACAACCAAGAAGACACCGGCCATGTAGGAGGGTAAATACTGCGCTTCACGATGCAGGGTGAAAGTCATGCGCAGGAGGGTAACGGCGGGTAGACCCAGCAACCACGCCTGGAGAACGTCGTAAGAGGGCCGATTGAGGTGAACCTCAGCCAATACGGGCACCATGAGGCAGACTGGGAGGACAACCAGACAGAGCACGCCCTCGGCCAGTGCGCGATAGCTGGCCACGTCCTTGAACCAGCGCATGGTTTGATGCAGGACCCAACCCAGGCGCGGGGCCACCAGCAAAAGGGCCGAGGCTGAGCCCAGAAGGAGAAGAAAAAAGAGCACGGCCGCTTCGCCGGCAGCGTTGGTGGTGCCGTGAATGAAGAGGGGCAGAAAAATGCCAAATGGAACCGAAGCCAGCAAGAAGTAGCTGCCATAGCTCACGCTAAACTCGCCACGTAGTTCGGCGTGATCGGAGAAGCTTTGGCGCTGTGGCTGGAGGTCTTCAGCGCGCTTGGCATCGACCACGATCGGGGTTTGGAAAATAGCCACGACCAAGGGCAGCCAGACACTGGGCAGAATGATAATGTTGAACAACAGCATGCCGTATTCGCTGGGAGTTAGATCCAGGGTTTGCAGCAGCGGGGTGAGAATGATGATGGGTAGGACCAAGCCTGACGCCACGGCGCCCACAAGAATCTCGACCAGGCTGATCAGATCGCCAAAGTCCGTCAGACCCAAGCGCTCCGCCAGGTAGATGAGGGGCCACAACCAATGAGGGAGGAGGGCAAAGAAGATGAGGGCCATGTTCCCGCTCTCCGACGGTGTGAGAGTCGTGGCCAACGGAACACACACCCCAAGGGGCCAGACTGCCGAACAAGGCGGTGGAGGGCGGAAGGAGAATGAAAAAAAATATGAGCACATGAGGTTAGCGATATACATGGTCCCGTAAACGAAGCCCCAATTGGCGTCACGGCAAAATCAGAGCTTCGGCTCGGGGCTGCGCATGGATGCACAGGGGAAGCAGGTTCGCGTACCAAGCAGGGCAAAGGCACGAACGGCCAGGCCGACCCAAGACAGTTCCATGATGTCGTGTCGATGTTTCTAGATGGCGATGAATCGCTCTGGTACTAAGGAAATCAGGCAAGTCGCTCCGGCATGGCGTTTGGCGCCCTGCGGGCTGCCACGCCGGCCTCGGGGGCCACCGGTCGATGAAGCGGATCCAAGAAAACGCGGGGTTGGACCACCCATTCAAACCCAGCCGTCAAGCCAGGGCTCCCTCTACAAACACAGAGACCCAATGAGCTCAAGACCAGCAAGCCTCTTCCTTACGATCCCAATCTCCCTCGAACCAAGTGAGCAACGCTGCCATCGCCATCATCGCACCTTCGACTGCCGTTCTCTCGAAAAGCGCGCTCTCTCTCTTCGTTTTTCAACTGTTTCCGCCCACCTGGCTTCGACTAAATATAGATGAGGATGCTGATCTAACAATAGGCCACGCACCCTCGCAACGCGATGTCGAACAACAACAACACTACAACAGCAAATCTGTGTGTGTGAGTGTGTGTGTGTGTGTGAAAACGGCAGCGCCGGCAGCGCCAGTCGTACAGTACAGACAGCACAGGGTGCTTGGGGATGGTAGGCGGGAGTCTGGATAGGCGTGACACGAACGCCTCAAGGCTGAAGCAAATTTGTAGCTTTGGATCATTAATTCCCAAGAGACACACACAGCTTCCATTCCCCGTTGAGAGTGTGTGTGTGTGTGTGTTTGTTCAGGGTGTGCACATGTCAGTTTTGTTGGTTCAACAGGAGCCGCACCACGTCCTCGACTGGAGCCAAGGCCAAGTCGAGCCCCGGTTCAAGTGTGTGTGTGTGTGTGCGCGTGTGTGTGGTCACAGCACTGCTGACTGCGCTGGGCAGGGTTCTCAGCTGGTGGCACGCAGTCCGGGCTGCCCAGGAGCTTGCGCTGCCAACGGCTCTCGTGAATTACCTGGATCATCAACAGTCTGTCATCATGCCGCAGGTGAGTCGAGCACTGGCATTGCCGCGATCGGCGTCCATGTCCTTTTCTACACACTTGCACACAGCCGCGTACAGACGTGCACAAAAACGCACACAAGCACGCTGCCCTCGCCGCCCCGTCTTGACCGAGGCTTGTTGCAATGATGCGGTAGTTGGATCCTACGCTGCTTCATGAGCTGCTGGACAGTCGGGAAAAGCAGGAGCAGCTTCAGGTGAGCTATTTCGCTCCTCCGTCGGAACTCAGCCGTTGCCTGTCTTGGCCCTCGCCTTGTTCTCAAAGCTTGTGGATCAACATCCCTTCTCATCCCTCCTACCCAACGTCTTCGTCGGGGCCCATGTAGCGCTATGCGGCGGCCATACCTGTGGCGTCGCGGCCGCAGCGGCCATCTTCTTACCGCTCAGATACATCGCAAAGCTCCCGCACATCGACCATGACCTCGCAATCTCGCCCCCGCACCCTCACCAGAGCCAGTTTTGTCGATAATTCTCCCTATGCTGCTACCATGCGCTTGCCGCGCAATGCTCCCTCTCGACGTTCACGGCCCACCTCAGCCGTGCATCGCAACAACGGCGCTAGCAGCCAATCGTTGCGTCGCTCCGTCCGTGCTCGGCCCACCTCAGCCCCACTTGAGACCTCACGGCGCGCAGAGGCCGCAGCCCGCCGCATGTACCAGGCCCGTCCCCACCTCGTGCGGTGTGTGGCTCACAAAAATGGAACGTATCAGCATGGCATCAGGGTTCAAGGCGATACGCTACATGCCCTGCTGCGAGCCTGCACCCAGCGCCTCGACCTGCCCTTTGCCGCCCGCCGTCTCTTCGATGAGTCGGGCCAAGAGCTCCTCTCCACCGAGGATTGTCAACTGCTGGAACCCCATGCCATCGTTTACGTGAGCCTCGGCGAGCCCTTTGCGGATCCTTTTGCCCGCGTTGCGGCCGAGCATCGCCGTCGACTAGGGCCCACAGCCTCCCTCTCGGCATCTGTTGGCCTCTCTTCCGGATTGCACGGTCGCACCGCCAACTCCCGGCCTCTGTCTGCTGGGCGCTGCACTGCCTCCATTGATCAAGCCGGTCGGCTTCGCGCAACCTTTTTCAACCTTGGAGAGGGCATCAACGGCACCGCCTTGCTTCTTCCCGATTCCCTGGATGACGTACTCCACGCTTGCACCCGTCGGCTGGCTCTCAGTGGGCCAGCCGCTCGTCTCTTTGCCCTTGATGGTCACGTCATCCGAGAGGCCACTGGTGATCTGCACGCCCTGTGTCACCCAGCGCTGCAGTACGTTATCGGCCGCGTGGCCGGACCCTTCTGGGTTGTGGCAGGCACCGAGGCCTTTGATACTCGCGGGCCCCTCGCATTCATCCAACATCATGTCCAGCGCCTTGATGCGCGTATCAAGCAGTGCGAGCAACGCAAAGAGATTCTCGACTCTATCATCTCGGGCTACGAGGCTCAAGAAGCGGCTCTCGGAGATTTGGACCTGCAGACCAATCGCCTACAGGAGTCGCGCCGCTACCTTCTTGCTTGTCGAGCGACCTTGTTAGAGAGCGTCGCTGATGGGCCCGAGCCGCCGCTAGCCGCCTCCATCCCGCGCCTCAAGCCCAACTCGACGCTCGTCGATGCTCGGCCCGCCCTGTACCTCGCTGCCGTGCCCAATGGTCTCCCTGCCCGCCCGGAAAACAGTCGGACCTTCACCTTTCATGTCGGGGAGGCCGAGCGGCGTGCTCAAGATGCCCAGGGCGTCTTTGCTCTGCTGCTGGCTCGCATCGACAGCCTTCTTGATTTGGGTGGACCAGCCAAGCGCCTCTTTGATAAATCAGGACGCGAGCTACGCAAGGTGCATCAGTTGCGCAAGGTCAACACTGTCTGGGTTTCGCGTGGCGAACCCTTTGTCCCTTACGAGGACGTGGTGTTGGGGGTCTCGCTATCGGGCGCCCGACAGGTTTTGGTCAGAGCCCCCACTGCTTCCGACACCGAGACACCCACACCCGAAACGAGCGAGAGCTCGAACTCGCCGCATCCCATGTTTGTTGAGCACTTTGACGTGGTCGAAGATGACGAACTGAATGCCAACAACTTTGCTCTCTTGGCGGCCGACGAGCCTGTACCCGAAGCTCTCAAGTACGACGCCAAAACCGTGGGAACGGAGGCACTCGAACGGCTCAAGCCGTTGGCACACAGCACGGCCATGCTCTTGCTGCGTCGCGAGCGCGAGGTGGCCGTCTTCCAACCGCGCGTGGCCTTTCATCTGCGCCAGTTAGCTGACAAGTCAAACCTACTCCAGCGTTGGCAGGTGCAACCGTTGCGTACTGCCACTGAAGGGCCGACTCTGTGCTTCATATCCTCGCGCTTGTGTCCCTCCATGGTCCTCACCGTGCTAGGTGACCCGGCTGCCGACTCTCCTGCGTCTCCCTTGCCGGTGGGCTTTGGAGAAGCGGCGGCAAGTAACTTGAATGCACTCTGGTTCTTTGCAGACGATGGCACAATTCGAACGGCAGCCAACGCAGAGTTTGGTCTGACTCTCTCGGCAACCGTCGATGTGGCGTTGAAACACGCTGACGAAAACACCAGCATGGGCTTTTCTAGTACCAACAATGACCACGGACAAACCCAGCGCGGTGAACAAGACGAGGACAGCGACGGCAATGGCAGCCCACCGACCTCGGGTGGCGTGGCATGGACCGCGGATGACGCTGTCGGCGCCGATGGCTCTAGCGCAGACCATGTCGTGCTGTCGGTACAAGCCGTCGAAGCACCCGCAACCGCAGTGGGCCAGCGGCAGCGGTGGGCCTTCAAGTCGTATCGCTTCGACCAGGTGGCACTCTTCAAAGAATCACGGGACGTGAACCAGGATCGGCGATGGATTGAAAAGGCTCTCATGTGGCCCTGCGACGCCAACTGTCAGTGGAATGCGGAAATGCCAGCACCCCTTGAGGCCCTCCTCGTGGGCAAGGCGCCCTGGCCGACGCAGCGCAGCTCGGCTCGCTTTGACAGGCATCTCTACCACCGCAAGCTCAAGGTTGTACCCAATGTCAACCCCGGCGCCGAACCCTCCTCTGTGGTGTTGCCTCTAAGTGCCGGCGAGCGTGGGCGCAGCAATACCGTGGGTAATGCCATGGCGCCCGCGACCTTGGCATCAAGCCTGCCCAAGGACACGCGTCACTGGCTGAGCAAAAAGCTCGGTACGGACTGGGCCGTCAGCATGACCGATTCACTCACTCAGCAGCGTGATGAGCGCCAGGAGTGGCGGCTTGAGCTGCTGTTGGTCAAGTGTGATGCTGCACTACCACAGCTGACGGGCGCAAGTCGCCAGCTGTTCACGCCCTGGGGTGCGGCGGTGACAGACCCAGAGACATTTGACTCAGCCGTGGTGCTGCAGGTGAGCTGTGGCGAGCCGTGGCACCCTGGTCCTGCCGTCACGCGGGCCACCAAATTGCTCGAGGGTGAAATTCGGGCCCTGCGCCAAGTGGCCGAGGCGTATGCCGCTGCCGACAGCATTGCCACTTTTGCGCAGCGCAATGGCTCGACGTTCACGACAACAACGGACGAGGAGGCCGCCCTCCAGGCTGTGCTTAAGCCACAGCGGCAGCTCATGGTTGGCGACGATTGTCTGACGGCAATCGAGGTGGCGGCTGGAGCCACGATCACGCTGGAACCCCTGGCGCTCAACGAGCCTGGACAAAAATGGATTGTTGAGGACGGGCTCTTTGTGAGTGCCATGGATGCCAATCTTTGCTTGGGTTGGGCCCGTCGAGAAGCACGAGCTGAAGCTGCTGCGGGCGAGGACTTTGATGGCGAGGCTCGCCTCTGTCTGTTGGATCGCAACACGGTGCGTGGGTAGTGATAGGGATTGCCCGCTGCGAATACTTGCCCATGTGTACTCATGCAGCAGCACCGCTTGTTGGTTTTTGCAGAATCGTATGAGCTTGGTGCGGGCCGTCAAGGATCGGGCTACATTCCGCCTTCAATTACCCGGGGCTTCCTTGCCAGGGTTGCTACAACAAGCTGGCGTGTGCTCAGCCGCATTCCATGGCGCACAGGCTGTGGATCAACTGGCCTACCTTGATGCCCGAGATAATCTCATGTGCGGAATATTTTTTCTCCTTGCCCCACTTTTGTGCCCACCACTTTTTTGTTGTTGTTCGTCACGGTTTGGCTCACTGCCGGGTATTTTGCCTGCTTAGTTGTCCGGCTTGTGCCGAGAACAGCGGCCACAATGGCTCATCCTCGACCCACTCGCTGAGTCTTGGCGTGCAGTCATTTGTGTGTAGTAATCGCAACCGAGCTCTTGAGATTGAATCGCGCTTTGGGTTGCGTGGACCCAAGGGGGTCTTTGCACCCCCACAGCCCGTGCCTTTGGGTGCGAGGGTCACGTTGCGCAGTGTGGAGGATGCCGAGGAGGCTTTGGCGCGCTGGGATCGCTATCTGGGCCGTCTTGTCGGCGTTTTAGATCGTCGTACCGTGCACATTAAACGTATGTTGCTGCTCTCTTGCATGCTTGCCTTCGACTTGCCGATCTTGCTTTGGTGTCACACGAGATCCTCGTACCTTGTAGCATCGGCTCCAACGTCCTCGCTCGAACCGAGCCGTCGCCTCAAGACAGTTTTGTACAAGAACGGCGAGGTGCTTAAAACACGGTCCAAGCGGGTTGTGGTGGTGTTGGAAAGCGACGAGCGAAGCTTGGCCTTCTTGTTGAGTGAAGCAACTCGTACGTTGACCATTTCCTCTGCGCAGTGTCCCCCCTCTTGCCCTGTGCCTTCGTGCTTGGGGCAGGGGTACCTGCATTCAGAAGGCGAAAGAAATCTGTGCCTCTCTGTGGCAACTCGAAACTAACACAGCATTTTGTTGGCATGGATCTTAGGGCTGTTAAATCTAGCCAACGCAGCTCGGGCTCTCTTTTTGCGTGACGGGACGCCTGTAGAGCGCTTGAGCAGCCTCGGCAAAAAGCATGTCTCGGACGCCAATGATCTAGAGTTGTGGGTTTCGTGCGGAGAGCCGTTTGTACGACCCGAAACGTGCTTCGATGCCTTGCGTCAAGAGCGCCAGGAGCTGCGTGGGGCCTTTGCACGATGCAAGGAGGAAGCACAGGCGCTAAAAAGCCAGCGCAAGAATTTGAAAGCTTTGATGGCGAAGGAGGCCACCGAATCCACGGGGCGCCGTCTCGACACACTGCAAACAGAACTGGATTCGAACAAGCTGGATCTGGAAGCGGTGGCTGAGCGCATGACCCAGTTTAAGGCGCGTCTGCGGCAAATTGACTTGGCTGTACACGAGGCTGGGCGCCCCAAAATTGCCAAAGCCTCGCAACCTCGAGACCCGGATCTCTTTCAGCGCCTGGCCAAACCTGTGCGACCGATGGCTCGTGTCCTGGCGCGGCGGAACGGTGCATGGGATGCACCGCCGCTGTTGTGCATGGCCCGTTCGTTGGAGGATTTGTTAGTGGACTGCACCGAAAAATTACGAATGAATCCCGTTCGGCGTTTGTACACCCTGCAGGGTCAGTTGGTGCACTCCCTCGAAGAACTAGCCACGAATCAAGAGGTACGATTGGCTCGGATTGAAACGTGTATGGTGTGTGTGTTGTTTTTGTTGTTGTTGTTGGTTTCTGGCTCATGCTAGGTCTGCATCGTCGCACGGCATCTCATCATGGTTCCATCATGCGCATTGCAGGTTCTGGCGTCGGCCGGCGAGCCATTCGTCGGTGGCAAGAGCTCGACATCGACTGCCAAGCCACCCGTGGCCGATTCGGGTGTTGGTGACTCTGAAGCAATGAGCGTGATTGATGAGTAATGGGGGCTTGGCATTTACCGCCACGTTCTTGCTATTCTCCAGATGCAATAATGTCATGTATTCAATTGCTCAGCCAGGGCAGCACATTAGTCAATTAAGTTTTGGATATCAGAATCGATGCTATCGATCGATCGAAGGGTGCCGTGAAATGCCCTACGTGCTTCTGGTTGAAATGTGTGCTATGTTGGTCACTGTCACATTGTAGTATCACGGTCATTAAAATATTGTTGTCAAGAGGACAGCAAGGGCAGAGACGGCGCTCACGCAGTGGCGTCGAGTGGGGCATATTGGTTAATCACAGGGCAGCGTTGAGGAAGGGAAGAAAACAAAAACAAAGAAAAAAATTATGGGAGGTTTTTGAGCCGATCCATGATGTTGCCATTTTTGCGTTGCGCAATTTTGGCCACGAGCTCGCCAACGGGTTGAAAAGCCGCTCCTTGGTTCAAAGAAGGTTTGAGTTTTTGTTGAGGCTTGGCCTTGCCCACACCCACAACCTCGACCGGCTCCGGTCTGCACAACAGGTCAAGTCAAGGAGCAGGAAAGCGAACGGGTGAGAGGCCAGTGCATGTTGCATCAGTGTCATTGGGAGACAGTGGAGATGCGTGAGCCTTGTCAGAGTGCACTCGGCAGGTTGCAATAAAACGAGCTACATACGGTGGCGGTGGCGGTGGCGGAGGCGGAGGTGGTGGGGGCGGAGCGGCAGGAGCAGCGCTGGCGCCGGCGTTGGCAGAAGGGGGCGGGGGCGGGGGCGGGGGCAAGACAGCGCTCGAGGGCGGTGCAGGCGTAGATGCAGGAGCGGAGGCTGTGGTTTTGGGGGGGCCAGCGCGGGTCGGCTTGTTGGAGGCGGGATCTGGTTCGTCATAATCGGGGCGGAGGGGGCGGTGTAGACCGCTGCGAAGGGCGTCAACGCGGGATTGATTAAACCGGTCTTTGAGGCTGATGCCTGTATTCATGCTCGGTAAGAGGGGCTGCTGCATCATGGGTGGATACTGCATGGGCGGGGCACCATAAGGCATGGGGGCAGCCATGGGCATGTAGGGCTGCATGATGGGCATGGGGAAGGACATGGGCATCATGAAGCTTGTGGGACGTCCAATGTCCCCCATGGTGGGAGCCATCATGGCGCCGCCCCCGCCGTAGCTAGCACGCTGTGGGCCATAGTTGGGGTCGGAGCGACGATCACGGCGGTCACGGTATCCCCCATAATTGCCTCGTGGATCATATTCATCGCGACCAGGGTCATCATAATAGCCGCTCTGAGGTGAGATGGGAAGGCCATCACGATCATACAGAGGGCCATCGGGGCGATAATGATCCCGAGACGGCGGGCCTCGGCTTGGCGGGCGCATTTCACGGCTGGGAGGACGGTTGGTGGGCAAGCGTGCGGGGTTGTCACGTCCACGGCCGCGGCCCTTGGGAGGACCACGACCGGGATGGCGGGCACCCGGGGCTTGGCGCATGTTGACGGGTTCCGAGACGAGGTCGGCGTCATCGTCGTCCTCATCTGAATCCTCGCCACGAGGGCCATTCGGGCGCCGAAAGTCGGCTGTCTGTTTCTGATACGATCCAGGTCGTCGAACCTGCAGCGGGTCATCGTCCTCATCGTCGTCGTCCGCACCCGCCTGGGAGTTGTACGAGTTGAATTTGTCTCGGCGATCAGGGCGATGGCGGTGGCGACGGGCGGCGAAAGAGGCATCTCGCTGGTCGTCGACATCCTCCTCCTCAAAGCCGTAGCCTCTGGGCAAATCTGGGGCCGGGCCAGCTGGTAAGGGCGGAGGAGCAAAGTCGTCGTCATCATCGTAGTCATCATCGTAAGTGGCATCCCGTGCGCTGGGTCCAGGTCGGTTAGCTCGGCGGTGTTGGGATCGGGTTCTGTTGGCAAATGCGGCCGTTGAGGGGTCAACTGTTCCGCCTGGGAAGACGAGAATCTTTGTGGGAACAGCGCCGCTGACTCCTTGCTCATTTTTGACACGTGACCTGAAGAGGGGTGGGGGGTGGAAGGCAGACAGTGGAGAGGGGTCAAATACAAGGAAGGGGCCCGTGAAATTGAGATGGATTGTTTCGAGCGGTAAGATGTTAACCGTGCAGCCAAACATTCAAGAAGGATCAGGGCCTCAGACACTTCTGCACGGGCATGCAGTGCGTGCATGTGTGTGTGTGTGTGTGTGTGTGTGTGTGGTGGAACTTTTGTCGGCAAAGGTCAACATACCAGGCTTCGTTCATGTGGTCGAGGAAGAGGACTCGATCGTGTTTGCGTACGCTGAGTTCGTGATCATGGCGCGCTTTGAACCGCTTGCGCACCACAACCTCCAGGCGTTCAGTGCTTGGAGACATGATGAACCGCCCACCCAGGTCGGGTGGCGGAGCAGCACGTGTGCACGATGCGGGGTACGCAAGGAGCACGGCCCTCAGGGCACAGAGGCTGGCTGGCTGGCAGTGTTCTACTTCAGCTGCGTCAAACTCAACTCGGTGGAGGCTAGTTCATATCCTGTATATCTCTCATGTATACCCATAAAAACCAGCCCCCATCTGACTGCGGCTGAGCAGAGGTCAAGCCACAGAGCGATACGTGACGCGACACGGCGCAGCAGTCAAGCTCAGAGGCGTCACCGTCGCAAGTCAAAAGTGGGCGGTGACCGCTTGTGTGTGTGTGTGTGTGTGTGTTGCGAGGGCACATTTTATCTGACATAACCATATCACTTGGTAATAGACGCTTTTGTCTGACAAGTACAGATCGCAAAAAAACGTGAAAAGTAGACACATAAAATAGGTGTCTGTTTAAGACTAAAACCCGTTGGGTCACCCCGACTTTCTGCATCTTGTCATACTTTATCTTCATCTTCTTCTTCATCTTCTTCTTCTTCATCTTCTTCTTCTTCTTCATCTTCTTCTTCTTCTTCTCCCTCTTCCTTCTTCATTCCGGCGGCGAGCTCTGATGCTCATCGCGTCGAGCTCATGTGCCTGCTGGTCTGCGCTGGTGGTGGTGATGGTGCCCGATCTCTCAACGCCGACACATCCGTGTCACCAACCCAATCAAAGCCCTCAAGACCGCTGTCAAAACCACGACACGTCACGTTGCGTGCCTGCAAAAAAGACCAGAAATGCTGACAGTCTGAGCCATGTCTCGATTACGACATCTAGGTTAGGGGCAACCTCATGCACCTGGTAGCAGCTGGCTTGGTAGCGCGCCCCCCTCCTCCCTGCCTCCGGGCCAGATGCGTGCGTGACGCCTTTCCTACCCTCCTGCAAACAGACGGTATCAGCGAACATCGCACAGCAGCGGATGGTCAGCGAGAGCCTGAACCAGACAAGCCAGGTCAATACGAGAGAGCATGAGCGTTTAAGCCCGCAGAGCACCAGATCCGGAGCGAGGAACAGAAGAAGAGAGAGAAGGAAGCAAAAGGTTAGAATCACATCCCAAAGTATGCGGCTGGGTGTGTGTGTGTGTGTGTGTGTGTCTTTCTGTCTCTGTTTCTTTGTCTCTCTGTCTGTCTGTCTTCTCTCTTCTCTCTCTTCTCTCTCTGTCTCTCTGTCTCTGTCTCTCTTCTCTCTCTCTCTCTCTCTCTGTCTCTCTCTCTCTCTCTCTCTCTCATTATCGATTTCTGCGTTTCGGTTGGTACGCGCGCGCGCGCGCTCGTTCTTGCGACGATGCCGGCTGCCATTGTGTTTCTTGGGCGTTGATGGGCGCGCTGGAAGGATCTAATCCAGCTAATGTGGACAAGCTTGGGTGGTCATGTGCCCCCGATGAGCTTGTCCTCTTGCGTTGGGGTCGTGTGCACGGCGATCAGATCCATTCAGCCCTTTTGATCGGGTCCCGTTTCGCTGCAAGAAGAAAGCGCCGGCTGCTTTGTGTGTGCGCATGTGCATCTCACCTGCCCCCTTCCCCACCCCCCCGCCACCTTGCTTATACTCATGTTTTAGGTGGTCTTAATAGCCTATTCCACGCTTTAGCCTGCCCCATTCATCTGCACCATGGGCTCGATCGAAGACGCCATGCATCTGCACGCTGCCCGCAACAACAATGACAATCACCTTCAGGTCGGTCCGATCGCAACCTTTTGGCACCCTTTCCCGCCGTGCCGTGCCGTGCC